AGAGGTCCTGGATGGCAGGAAGCTTGGCCCCAGGGATGCACTGGGACGTACGCACTACCCTCTGTAGCGCCTTGCGGTCGGAGGCCGAGCAGTTGCCATATCAGGCAGTGATGCAACCAGTCAGGATGCTCTCGATGGTGCAGCTGTATAACCTTTTGAGGATCTGAGGACCCATGCCAAATCTTTATCCGTCTCCTGAGGGGGAATAGGCGTTGTCATGCCCTCTTCATGACTGTCTTGGTGTGTTTGGACCATGATAGTTTGTTGGTGATGTGGACACCAAGTAACTTAAAGCTCTCAACCTGCTCCACTACAGCCCTGTCGATGAGAACGGGGGCGTGCTCGGCCCTCCTTTTCCTGTAGTCCATGATCATCTCCTTTGTCTTGTTCACATTGAGGGAGAGGTTGTTGTCCTGGCACCACACTGCCAGGTCTCTGACCTCCTCCCTATAGGTTGTCTCATCGTTGTCGGTGATCAGGCCTACCAACGTTGTGTCGTCGGCAAACTTAATGATGGTGTTGGAGTCGTGCTTGGCCACGCAGTCGTGGGTGAACAGGGAATAGAGGAGGGGACTAAGCACGCACCATTGAGGGGCCCCTGTGTTGAGGATCAGCATGGCAGATGTGTTGTTGCCTACCCTTACCACCTGGGGGAGGCCCATTAGGAAGTCCAGGATCCAGTTGCAGAGGGAGGTGTTTAGTCCCAGGGTCCTTAGCTTAGTGATGAGCTTTGAGGGTACCATGGTGTTGAACGCTGAGCTGTAGTCAATGAACAGCATTCTCACGTACACCACCAGTCAAAAGTTTGGACACACCTATTCATTCAAGGGTTTTTCTTTATTTTTACTATTTTTTACATTGTAGAATACTAGTGAAGACATCAAAACTATGAAAATAACACATATGGAATCATGTAGTACCAAAAAAGTGTTAAACAAATCAAAATAGATTTTATAACCACCCTTTGCCTTGATGACAGCTTTGCACACTCTTGGCATTCTCTCAACCAGCTTCATGAGGTAGTCACCTGGAATGCATTTCAATTAACAGGTGTGCCTTCTAAAAAGTTAATTTGTGGAATTTCTTTCCTTCTTAATGTGTTTGAGCCAATCAGTTGTGTTGTGACAAGGTAGGGGGGGGTATACAGAATATAGCCCTATTTGGTAAAAGACCAAGTCCATATTATGGCAAGAACAGCACAAATAAGCAAAGAAAAACGACAGTGCATCATTACTTTAAGACAGGAAGGTCAGTCAATACGGAACATTTCAAGAACTTTGAAAGTTTCTTCAAGTGCAGTCGCAAAAACCATCAAGCGCCATGATGAAACTGGCTCTCATGAGGACCGCCACAAGAATGGAAGACCCAGAGTTACCTCTGCTGCAGAGGATAAGTTCATTAGAGTTACCAGCCTCAGAAATTGCAGCCCATATACAGTGGGGCAAAAAACCATTTAGTCAGCCACCAATTGTGCAAGTTCTCCCACTTAAAAAGATGAGAGAGGCCTGTAATTTTCATCATAGGTACACGTCAACTATGACAGACAAAATGAGAATTTTTTTCTCCAGAAAATCACATTGTAGGATTTTTAATGAATTTATTTGCAAATTATGGTGGAAAATAAGTATTTGGTCAATAACAAAAGTTTCTCAATACTTTGTTAAATACCCTTTGTTGGCAATGACACAGGTCAAACGTTTTCTGTAAGTCTTCACAAGGTTTTCACACACTGTTGCTGGTATTTTGGCCCATTCCTCCATGCAGATCTCCTCTAAAGCAGTGATGTTTTGGGGCTGTCGCTGGGCAACACGGACTTTCAACTCCCTCCAAAGATTTTCTATGGGGTTGAGATCTGGAGACTGGCTAGGCCACTCCAGGACCTTGAAATTCTTCTTACGAAGCCACTCCTTTGTTGCCCGGGCGGTGTGTTTGGGATCATTGTCATGCTGAAAGACCCAGCCACGTTTCATCTTCAATGCCCTTGCTGATGGAAGGAGGTTTTCAGTCAAAATCTCACGATACATGGCCCCATTCATTCTTTCCTTTACACGGATCAGTCGTCCTGGTCCCTTTGCAGAAAAACAGCCCCAAAGCATGATGTTTCCACCCCCATGCTTCACAGTAGGTATGGTGTTCTTTGGATGCAACTCAGCATTCTTTGTCCTCCAAACACGACGAGTTGAGTTTTTACCAAAAAGTTCTATTTTGGTTTCATCTGACCATATGACATTCTCCCAATCCTCTTCTGGATCATCCAAATGCACTCTAGCAAACTTCAGACGGGCCTGGACATGTACTGGCTTAAGCAGGGGGACACGTCTGGCACTGCAGGATTTGAGTCCCTGGCGGCGTAGTGTGTTACTGATGGTAGGCTTTGTTACTTTGGTCCCAGCTCTCTGCAGGTCATTCACTAGGTCCCCCCGTGTGGTTCTGGGATTTTTGCTCACCGTTCTTGTGATCATTTTGACCCCACGGGGTGAGATCTTGCGTGGAGCCCCAGATCGAGGGAGATTATCAGTGGTCTTGTATGTCTTCCATTTCCTAATAATTGCTCCCACAGTTGATTTCTTCAAACCAAGCTGCTTACCTATTGCAGATTCAGTCTTCCCAGCCTGGTGCAGGTCTACAATTTTGTTTCTGGTGTCCTTTGACAGCTCTTTGGTCTTGACCATAGTGGAGTTTGGAGTGTGACTGTTTGAGGTTGTGGACAGGTGTCTTTTATACTGATAACAAGTTAAAACCGGTGCCATTAATACAGGTAACGAGTGGAGGACAGAGGAGCCTCTTAAAGAAGAAGTTACAGGTCTGTGAGAGCCAGAAATCTTGCTTGTTTGTAGGTGACCAAATACTTATTTTCCACCATAATTTGCAAATAAATTCATTAAAAAATCCTACAATGTGATTTTCTGGAGAAAAATTTCTCATTTTGTCTGTCATAGTTGACGTGTACCTATGATGAAAATGACAGGCCTCTCTCATCTTTTTAAGTGGGAGAACTTGCACATCACCGCCTGGTATGGCAACTGCTTGGCCTCTGACCGCAAGGCACTACAGAGGGTAGTGCGTACGGCCCAGTACATCACTGGGGCAAAGCTCCCTGCCATCCAGGACCTCTATACCAGGTGGTGTCAGAGGAAGGCCCTCAAAATTGTCAAAGACTCCAGCCACCCTAGTCATAGACTGTTCTCTCTGCTACCGCACGGCAAGCGGTACCGGAGTGCCAAAAGACTTCTCAACAGCTTCTACCCCCAAGCCATAAGACTCCTGAACAGCTAATCATGGCTACCCGGACTATTTGCACTGCCCCCCCACCCCATCCTTTTTACGCTGCTGCTACTCTGTTAAGTATTTATGCATAGTCACTTTAACTCTACCCACATGTACATATTACCTCAACTACCTCAACTAGCCGGTGCCCCCGCACATTGACTCTGCAACGGTACCCCCCTGTATATATAGCCTCCCTACTGTCACTTTATTTTACTGTATATATAGCCTCCCTACTGTCACTTTATTTTACTTCTGCTCTTTTTTTCTCAACACTTTTTTTGTTGTTGTTTTATTCTTACTTTTTTTGTTTAAAATAAATGCACTGTTGGTTAAGGGCTGTAAGTAAGCATTTCACTGTAATGTCTGCACCTGTTGTATTCGGCGCATGTGACCAATAAAATTTGATTTGATTTGATTTGACTAAATACTTTTTTCCCCCACTGTAAATGCTTCACAGAGTTCAAGTCACAGACACATCTCAACATCAACTGTTCAGAGGGGACTGTGTGAATCAGGCCTTCATGGTCGAATTGCTGCAAATAAACCACTACTAATGGACACCAATAAGAAGAGACCTGCTTGGACCAAGAAACACAAGCAATGGACATTAGACCGGTGGAAATGTCTGTGATTTATTTAGAATTCAAGGCACACTTAACCAGCATGGCTACCACAGCATTCTGCAGCGATACGCCATACCATCTGATTTGGGCTTAGTGGGACTATCATTTGTTTTTCAACAGGACAATGACCCAACACACCTCCAGGCTTTGTAAGGGCTATTTTACCAAGAAGGAGAGTGATGGAGTGCTGCATCAGATCACCTGGCCTCCACAATCCCCCGACCTCAACCCAATTGAGATAGTTTGGGATGAATTGGACGGCAGAGTGAAGGAAAAGCAGCCAACAAGTGCTCAGCATATGTGGGAAGTCCTTCAAGACTGTTGGAAAAGCATTCCAGGTGAAGCTGGTTGAGAGAATGCCAAGAGTGTGTAAAGCTGTCAACAAGGCAAAGGGTGGCTATTTGAAGAATCTCAAATATAAAATATACTTTGATTTGTTTAACCCTTTTTTGGTTACTACATGATTCCATATGTGTTATTTCATAGTTTTGAGGTCTTCACTACTATTCTACAATATAGAAAATTGTACAAATAAAGAAAAACCCTTGAATGAGTAGGTGTGTCCAAACTTTTGACTGATACTGTAGGTGTTCCTTTTGTCCAGGTGGGAAAGGGCAGTGTGGAGTGCAATAGAGATTTGTTGGGGCGGTATGCAAATTGGAGTGGGTCTAGGGTTTCTGGGATGATGGTGTTGATGTGAGCCGTGACCATCCTTTCAAAGCACTTCATGGCTACAGACCTGAGTGCTACTTGGTCAATAGTTATTTAGGCAGGTTACCTTGGTGTTCTTGGGCACAGGGACTATCAGCCTACCTTATTATTACGCCAATATGAAACATTTGTTCATACAAAATATTGTTCTCACATAGTAGTGTTAATATTGTAAATAATAGGAATTAGTAGTTTTGGGTGGATTTTTCCTTTAATTACACTTTTCTACTATTACGTGGGGGACTTTTATTTTGAAACATTTCGAAATTCTGTAACCCGGAAGTAATTATTTTGTTGCTGACGTGATGCTGACGTCTTTCACAGCGCGCGCCGGGCTAGCTGGTTTGCAACCACGACCCCAAAACCAGATATCTGTGGAGCGAGAGATAGACGCAGATGGTCATGTCGGAGAGTGGGAGCAAAGATGCAGTGCAGAACGATGCAGCCCATAGCACCAGTACAGAGCCACACGTGGCCAGACCAAATATTGGCAACAGAGTGACTGTAGTGCTTGGGGCTCAATGGGGCGACGAGGGAAAAGGGAAAGTTGTGGACCTGCTCGCTCAGGATGCTGATATCGTTTGCAGATGCCAGGTAAATTATAACGTGTGCTAGCTAGCAAGCTAGCTGGAGGACATTCGGAACGTGGTTGCGGTTACAAATAATGTATAGCTAACTACCTAGCCATCTAGCCGTTGTTCATAACTCTCAGTTCCATACACATAGTATTGGACTAAGGACTTCTTCTGTAGGGGGAGTAATAATAATATGCCATTTAGCAGACGCTTTTATCCAAAGTGACACAGTCATGCGTGCATACATTTTTGTTGTTGTGTATGGGTGGTCCCGGGGATCGAACCCACTACATTGGCGTTACAAGCGCCGTGCTCTACCAGCTGAGCTACAGAGGACCACAGGAGTATTTTTAAGTCAGAACCGCAACGCTCGGTCTGCACATAACACGCATCGCTTGTGGTACGAATTTGGAAACATATTAGGACCTTATCTTTCATATCGGCGACAAATCATTTTCTAAAAACAAAAGGTTATATGTCAATGTTACAGCACGTGTTTACGGAAAACAGACGGAAGACATTGGACTAATGTTACCTGTACTAATTAGCTATCTGCGTCTCCGAACACCTGTGAACTACTGTATAAACCGTAGACAGACGCCACAAATGTGTTGTCACCGAAAAATATTATCGTCTGCAACTGTGTTAAAACTGATTAAAACGGTGTAAAGTAAGTGTTTTATTTTACATTTGGGAAAATATTTTGATGTGATGTGAAAGTAGAGGGATTTATGTTTCTAGAACCGTACCGCAATTGAGAATCGATTCACGTTTAGATGTAGTATTTCCAGAGCCAATTCACCCTTTAAACATAACATGTAATGTTAGGTCCTTGGGAGTAAGGCGGAATGTTAGGCTCCTTTTGTCCAATATTGGTCTTGTTAGATATCTATCTCTAAGCTAACAAGTTAGCCACGGTTTCGTCCTGACTGTAGCCAAAATGAGAACTAGTCCCCGAGTTAGCCAGCAAATTAACTAGCTAGTTAAAGCTGGATTTGTTGTAATTAGTAAACTAACGTTAGTTCAAATAGTGTAGTTATCTATGTATTAAAGATGTGGGTCCTGGTCAGACTTGTACTAGCTATTTAGCTATAAAGTATTGGTTTGTAGTGGGTAGCTAGCTATCTAACTAAGATAGACACCTAGCTAGCTACTCGGGCAACCAAATAAATTGTCGATGCTGAACGTCTTGCACTGTATTGCTAATGTCACCTTGAATTCTATCGCATCATCTATAACTAGCCAGAGCTAGCTACATTCATATTACTCGACTTAACACCAGATAAGATAGCCTAGTCTTCCCATGTTTTGCATTGTCTTTTTAGTATATGCGAGCAAGTGCATCTCTGTGTGTACCTTCTCACCTGCCATTGAAGTATCAAGTGTCTAAAGACTGCAGTTAATTACATTTTAGTCATTTAGCAGACGCTCTTATCCAGAGCAACTTACAGGAGCAATTAGGGTTAAGTGCGTTGGTCAAGGGCACATCGACCTAGTCGGCTCGGGGATTAGAACCAGCGACCTTTCGGTTACTGGCACAACGCTCTTAACCACTTAACTACCTGGATCTGACCAATGTTTGTGTATTTTAAATGTGGCTGTCAATAAATATATATTGGCAAGCCAACTAGCTAAGCCTATTCTGGGTTGAGTGCGTTTCACAAAACCATGGTGTCCGCCCTTTGGCTGTTATCACATTTACTTTGACTCAATCTGGGGCCACCTTATCAATGTCATTGCAGTGTGGGTGTTGTAGCACAGTAAAAACGTGGAATGTTTTCTTGTGAAAGCATGAAAAGGCAATACAGCAGAATGTTACCAACAAAAGCTTTGGTGACTCATCTGTACAACACTGGCCTTTATACCTGTAGGTTTAATGTCCATCCGGGTACTGTCATTCTTGTCCTCTTCAAAAGGGACTCCTCTACTCAAGGCAGGATTGGAGATGGTTCACATTAGTTAGCCTAGTCTTAATGAAATGTGGAAAGTTACTCAACTTTCCCCAGAAGCATACATATTTTCCATACTGTTTAGATTTCTCTCCAGCCTCCACTGTCCAACTCCAAAATGTGGGGTGATCAGGCACGATAACGCAAAAGACTGTGATATTTGTTTGGAGCTTTCTAGGTCCACAGGGCCTAGTTTCCATTTTGAATAGACAGCAGTGATGAGGACTGAGCTTGCATTGCATCATTCAACATAAGTTGCAACACCCTTCAGTTTTTGTTATTTATCAAACTGACAGGTGACAACCCAACAGTCCTGTTTCCCTTTTGATTAAAATCAACTGAGCATTTTGGGCATACTAGAGAAAACGTTGACATGCATTTTCTTTTTGTTTCACTGATTAATGGTCTTGACTAGTAGTCTATTTTTTTGTACAGGGATCCCTTCATAACTATCATTTAGCTTGACTCCCGAGTGGCTCAGTGGTCTAAGGCAGTGCTAGCTGTGCCACTAGAGATCCTGGTTTGAGTCCAGGCTCTGTCGCAGCCGGCCGCAACCGGGAGACCCATGGGCGGCGCACAATTGGTCCAGCGTCGTCCAAGGTAGGGGGGGGTTTGGCCGGCAGGGATGTGGGTTCGTTTCCCACGTTTTTTTAAATGTATGCATTCACTAACTGTAAGTCGCTCTGGATAAGAGCGTCTGCTAAATGACGTAAATGTAAATGTAAAATGAATAAAAACCTGATCTTCTGCTATTTGCAGTTATGCAGAGGTAAAAACAAGAAAAAGTCCCATGACTGAAACTTAAGTCGATATCAGATCGATTGTCTGGGGCAAAGTTAATGTAAGAAAGTCATGATCGTTACGCTTTTAGGGAAAGAGGATAATTTTGTACATGTATTAACCTGTGAATTTACCGGCCAATTCCTGTCCCCTTGCTTCCTGGGGTTCTACCCAGGATCATTTTTATGTAGAAGGACTGAGAAGCTCAGTTCTGGTGACTTTTTAAAAGGACATTCTAATCCAAAATGAATGAAAATAAAATGATGCTGACACCATCTAAAATATAATTTCCACCTCCAGAAATGAGCCCTGAAACATACTGGTAAAAGTGTTTTAAATTATTTTTTACACTGAACAAACATATAAACTCACCATGCAACAATTTCAAGGATTTTACTAAGTTACAGTTAATATAAGGAAATCAGTAAATTGAAATAAATAAATTAGGCCCTAATCTATGGATTTCACATGCCTGGGAATGCAGATATACATCTGTTGGTCACAGATACCTTAAAAAAAGAAAAGAGGATCAGAAAACCAGTCATTATCTGGTGTGACACCATTTGCCCCATGCAGCATGACATCTCCTTCCTATAGAGTTGATCAGGCTGTTGATTGTGGCCTGTGGAATGTTGTCCCACTCCTCTTCAGTGGCTGTGCGAAGTTGCTAGATATTGGCGGGAACTGGAACACGCTGTCGTATACATTGATCCAGAGCATCCCAAACATGCTTAATGGGTGACATGTCTGGTGAGTATGCAGGCCATAGAAGAACTGGGACATGTTCAGCTTCCAGGTATTGTGTACAGCTCCTTGCAACATGGGGCCGTGCATTATCATGCTGAAACATGAGGTGATGGCAGCGGATAAATGGCACGAGAATGGGCCTCAGGATCTCGTCATGCTATCTCTGTGCATTCAAATTGCCATCGATAAAATGCAAGTGAGTTCGTTGTCCGTAGCTTGTGCCTGCCCATAACCCCACCGCCACAATAGGGCACTCTGTTCACAACGTTGACATCAGCAAACCCCTCGCCTACACAACGCCGTCTGCCCGGTACAGTTGAAACCGGGATTAATCCGTGAAGAGCACACTTCTACAGCGTGCCAGTGGCCATCGAAGGTGAGCATTTGGGCGTACTGCCAAATTCTCTAAAACAACGTTGGAGGAGACTTATGGTAGAGAAATGAACATGCAACAGCTCTGGTGGACATTCCTGCAGTCAGCATGCCAATTGCACGCGGCCTCAACTTGACACATCTGTGGTGTTGTGTGACAAAACTGCACATTCTAGTGGCCTTTTATTGTCCCCAGCACAAGGTGCACCTGTGTAATGATCATGCTGTTTAATCAGCTTTGTGCACAAAATTTGAGAGGAAAAGGCTTTTTGTGCGTATGGAAAATTTCTGGGATCTATATTTCAGCTCATGGGACAAACACTTTACGTGTTGTTTATATTTTTGTTCAGTACACATATTGGACCATGCATATAGCCTATGCATGGTCTATCAGATGTGCTATTAGCAATAAGCGTTATTACCTGTAGACCAACTGATGCAGCATAGTGGCTATAAAATTTCCATAAGGTGAAGCATGGGGTTTGTCCATCTGCATTTACCCCATTGAACACAACATCCTGATTTTGTTATATTATGAACCATTATTATTTTGTTGTAAACACTAATTATTCACTCAAACTTAGATTTTTTAAACAAGTTTCTATTAGAAAGTATGTCATTGCCCTTTTAAGACACCATTGTCCCCTTTGAGCTCTGTTGTGATGGGCATTCCAAGTTTTTTTTTCTGTGAACTGGATCAATTGGGTCCATTCACCTAAAACAGCCATTCATTTCGCTCCCAAACGGCTCTTAGTTCAGTAAGGCTTAGAAATGGAAAACCATTAACAAAGTCACTGTAGTTTAAAGCCTGCCGTTGTCAGATAGTGAAATAAGTTCAAAAACATTTTTATCTGGCCCAATTATTAGATGGCCTGCAAAAAAAAAACACCCTGAAAAAATGTGCAGAAACCAGAATGAGGCTTTCATCTCACTGTATTGTTCCTGCGCTGAAGGATACCATCTTCAGAGAATGTTTTAAATGTTTTTTCTGCAGATAATCGATTTCTTGAGCTCAAAAAGCAATACATCGGAGTGTCAGCAACAATCATGCTTGTCAGTTCAGTGCACACAGCTTAAGAGGAAAATAAAATATTTGGGAATATATTTAATAGAACAGACATGCTTCTGTAATAGGCTATGTCATCTTGAAACCGGACCCTCTCCCATCCCCCTCAGAGATTTTTTATTGTGGATCTACACTGATCTCAAAAACGTCCTCCAGAATCCCGAGTGGCGCAGCGGTCTAAGGCACTGCATCTCAGTGCTAGAGGCGTCACTACAGACCCCCGGTTCGATTCCAGACTGTATCACAATCTGCCGTGATTGGGAGTCCCATAGGGCGGCGCACAATTAGCCCAGCGTCGTCCGGGTTTGGCCGGTGTAGGCCGTCATTGTAAATAAGAATTTGTTCTTAACTGACTTGCCTAGTTAAATAAAAGGTAAAAAAATAAATACAATAAAAACATTCCATATGATGGAAATCCGTCGCAGTGACCGAGAACTTTAACCCCTGATTTATGCACCCCTCCCGTCACTATGAATTGATAACAGGTTGGCATAGCAATAATTCTGGTGCACTGCCAAGGCTATAGGCATGTAAAAATAAACCACTTAAAGGTAGACTCAGCAAGATGAAGTTGCATGCACAAAGTAAACACAATCTCGAGTCAATTTACGCAACAACTAAGCATTGAAGCAAAGAGGTTAAAACTGCTTCTCGAATAGAACTCCCTGATCACGCTTGTAGGCTAGTTAAGCTCATGCGCAGAAACACATAATTGGGTCTGCTGTTTGAGTCCCGTAGTTACCACATTGTGGGTCTGCTGTTTGAGTCCCGTAGTTACCACATTGTGGGTCTGCTGTTTGAGTCCCGTAGTTACCACATTGTGGGTCTGCTGTTTGAGTCCCGTAGTTACCACATTGTGGGTCTGCTGTTTGAGTCCTGTAGTTACCACATTGTGGGTCTGCTGTTTGAGTCCCGTAGTTACCACATTGTGGGTCTGCTGTTTGAGTCCCGTAGTTACCACATTGTGGGTCTGCTGTTTGAGTCCCGTAGTTACCACATTGTAGCAGCGTGACGTGTGCTCATGCGCAGATACTGTGTGAGAGAAGTCTTGCATCGCGCTCATCTCAATATCTGCGATGCTTCTCGCTGCAACGTCTTCTCGCTGAGTATCTTTTAATGGCATGCTATGTAACACAAGGGCGTGTGTGTGTAAGAGGGAGAACATAGTGTTCATCTTTTTATAAAAAAGTCTGTGACAGCAATCTGAGAGGTTTTTCTTACATGCAACACGAGGTTGAAAGGGCAACAAGGAGCACATTTCCAAGGCTTACTAATTAGGTATCAGTGCTGATACTCTATTCCACTGCTCTCAAGTGGCTGCCCAAGTTACCATGACAGTAATTTGTTGTCTTTGGGGATCACACCAAACATTTTGATGTAATCGTGATATTCATGATCACCACCAAGTTGTATGATGGCCAGAGGAAGCAAAACAGAGTACCGGTATAAAAAGCTCAAAATGGAGTATAAAATCAGATAAATTTTCAGGTGTGATCTTCCATGACTTGGGAATGCAACCCGACTCTACTAAATGCAACATGTAGACAGCAGCTAGGCTATCATGGGGATTTAATTTCTTATTCAACTGCCACATACAGTTATGGTCTGAGAATTAATGCTGTCAAAGCTCTTCTTAGTCATTCTCCATAAAGGCTATGATGCAGACAAGAGATAAGGAAGGCAGGAACGTGGATCGCTGGGTTTACCTGACACCTCTCAGCTTTTGGCTTGATTCCAGACATGTCTTGCACAAAGACAGACATTTCTCATGAGCTTTCCATCCAGTTGGCGACAGATTTTCATGCAAATATTCTAAAATTGCCATAAAAACTATGCTCATTTTCCCACCAGAGATGTTTCCATCAAATTGACTTGTGGATAAAAGGCTGTGCGTGATGACGTAGTGCACATATAAGTAACTTTTGTGGTTGATTTTTCCATCGCAGAAACAAATGTTGCGTTGTATAGCGAATATACTTGCTCTGGTCTTGGCACTTGCACTCTAGCCAACAGCTAGCAGTTACAGTGTGGCTAGGCTACCTACATGAGGTTATTTGGAAAGTTTACTGACATGCTGTTTCCACCAGGCCTGTCGTGACATTTTTTTTATCCAGAATGTACTTTACTGGCATATAAAGGTTGGATGGAAACCTGGTTATAGAGAGCAATTGGGTTTGTTCCCTCTGGTCCATCTCCAATGTGTGAGAACGAGCTTGTCCTTAGAGCAGGGTTCTTACAGTCCTGCCACCTGCCGTCTGTGTCCTGTTTCAGGCCTGCTGGGTCTCTGTCACCGCGTCCATGGATGGAGGCTAGAGACCCATCCGTTGCATTGGGAGGTAAAAGGTTCTCTAGCATGGCTATATTTTGGCAACCTGAGACAGAGAACCACAGGGTTATGCAAGGAATGTTTGTGTGACCATATGATTCTTGAAATAACCTTTACTCAGTCATTTTACCTCTACCTTTAAAACCTTTAAAAACGATTGAACCTATTGATTGGTCTGTCAGTAATGGCTAGTAATAGGTACCAGATCTCTTTACATAGCTAGGCCACTTATCTTTGGCACATCGTTGCTATGGAAATGTTTTTTAGTTCTGGGTGTATGCTCCTTTTCAGTTCTCTAATCTGGTAATTGCAGGTTGTTCAGAACCTCTTTAGTGATCTCAATTATTTAAATGTTAATATATGTTGGAGGATAATGTCCAAGCTATTGGCATAACCCAAAAAACACTGACAATCAGAGAAACAAAAGAGGGCCGTAGAAAGATACGTTATTCCGTGTATATATAGAGTGCATTCGGAAAATATTCATGCCCCTTGACTTTTTCCACATTTTGTTATGTTGCAGCCTTATTGTAAAATTGATTAAATTGTTTTTTTCCCTCATCAATTTACACACAATACCCCATAATGACAAAGCAAAAACAGGATTGTTTTTTGTGTGCAAATTTAATTAAAAAAAAAAAACATATTTACATAAGTATTCAGACCCTTTGCTATGAGACTTTTTTTCTTTTTCTTGAAATTGAGCTCAGGTGCATCCTGTTTCCATTGATTATCCTTAAGATGTTTCTACAACCTGTGGTAAATTGATTGGACATGATTTGGAAAGGCACACACCTGTCTATATAAGGTCCCACAGTTGACAGTGTATGTCAGAGCAAAAACCAAGCCATGAGGTCGAAGGAATTGTCCGTAGAGCTCCGAGACAGGATTGTGTCGAGTCACAGATCTGGGGAAGGGTACCAAAAAATGTCTGCAGCATTGAAGGTCTCCAAGAACACAGTGGTCTCCATCATTCTTAAATGGAAGAAGTTAGGAACCGCCAAGACTCTTCCTAGAGCTCGCCCCCCGGCTAAACTGCGCAATCGGGGGAGAAGGGTCTTGGTCAGGGAGGTGACCAAGAACCCGATGGTCACTCTGATAGAGCTCTAGAGTTCCTCTGTGGAGATGGGAGAACCTTCCGGGAGAACCTTCCAGAAGGACAACCATCTCTGCAGCACTCCACCAGTCAGGCCTTTTTATGGTGGAGTGGCCAGATGGAAGCCACTCCTCAGTAAAAGGCACATGACAGCCCGCTTGGAGTTTGCCAAAAGGCACCTAAACACTCTCAGACCATGAGAAACAAGATTCTCTGAACAGATGAAACCAAGATTGAACTCTTTGGCCTGAATGCCAAGCGTCATGTCTGGAAGTAACCTGGCACCATCCCTACAGTGAAGCATGGTGGTGGCAGCATCATGCTGTGGGGATGTTTTTCTGCGGCAGGGACTGGGAGACTAGTCAGGATTGAGGGAAAGATGAACGGAGCAAAGTACAGAGAGATCCTTGATGAAAACCTGCTCCAGAGCGCTCAGGACCTCAGACTGGGGCGAAGGTTCACCTTCCAACAGAACAATGACCCTAAGCAAACAGCCAAGACAATGCAGGTGTGGCTTCGGGACAAGTCTCTGAATGTCCTTGAGTGGCCCAGCCAGTGCCCGGACTTGAACCTGATCGAACATCTCTGGGAGAGACCTGAAAATAGCTGTGCAGCGACGCTCCCCATCCAACCTGCAGAGTAGAATGGGAGAAACTCCCCAAATACAGGTGTGCCAAGCTTGTAGCGTCATACCCAAGAAGGCTCGAGGCTGTAATCGCTGCCAAAGGTGCTTCAACAAAGTACAGAGTCTGAATACTTATGTAAATGTTGATTTCCGTTTGTTATTTTTAATACATTTGCAAAAATGTCTTAGCCTGTTTTGCTTTGTCATTATGGGGTATTGTGTGTAGATTGATGAGGGGGGAAAAAACAATTTAATCCATTTTAAGAATAAGGCTGTAACGTAACAAAATGTGGAAAAGGTCAAGGAGTCTGAATACTTTCCGAATGCACTGTAAGTCAATGTGGCTGCATTACTCTCCAGGCTCTGAACTGTAGATGGTCAAATTAAGAAAGTTTCCTAATTATATCAGTGCATAGGAAATTATGCTGTCACAGGCATGGCATGCTATTCAGGATAACACTAAATTGAAGGTATTCTGCGACTTTCATATGAGGTGCTAAAGTGGCAAGCCATTTACTAATCCTGCCACCTGCCAATCCTGCCCCACAGAGGCTGCTCTCCCCTGTGCCCCCCTCACCCCTTCAGACCCAATAGGATTAATCGCACCAGCCAATTTTAGGTGGAGGACATGGGACGTTGTCCAAGGGAGACTGGCAGTCCTGTGACAGTCACGGGAGGCGAACGGATACATATCACATTAGAGAATGTTCCAGGTTATTGTTGGGAATTACGACTTGGTTCATCTCGGCAAGTGTCCCTTTTGAGTGAACTATTGCCGCCATATAATAAATGCCTTTATGGCGTAATAGCTGCCAAGTGGGTCAAGCAAGCCTGAAGTGACAAATGGAAAGTATGCAGCAGTGGGAGATGAGGCCATATCTCAAACTGATAAAAAGGTAGAAGCCATGGTGTAGGATGATTTTTCTATCCACATTCTCAGATTTGCAATATGCAGAGGGCAATTTCATGTTTTTTGGTCAGCCTATGTTCACGTGTTGAAACCTCACATTAACCAAGTGTCTCCCATTCATTGAAAGCAACCTTGTAGCAGCCGTCACCGAATGGCAGTAACTATACACGTCCGGCACGGCACTTTGCAGGTCAGGCAGCTGGGAGCACATCATAAATGCAACAAAAAAGGAGAGGCATCTGCACACCCCTTCACTGGTCCAAGGACTGCCATGGCCAGGAATAACCCAGGGTACACTTTACCGATAGCGATGGAACTTAAGCTTACAAGTGTTTTAACAATGCATTGTTCCTATAATGGCCGAAGATGTTACATGTGTTTCCGTAGAGAGAACGTTCACTAAGTGCGTCGTTGGAGCATGTGTCGATACTGATCTTATCATTAGAATTATTCCATAATACTGACGACGGATCAGCTCCTAGAGAGATGACCACTTATATGGCTTATTCTAATGGTCATTTCTGGTAGGCTAACCCAGAAGTAAAATCTTGCATAGTTTGGTCACCTGCGTGATTAACTTCTGCGTTCATACGTGTTACAAATTGAGAGTTCCGGCAAAAACTAAGTATCCACCCTCACAAAAGGAAACAGGAAACTCAGCCAAATAACTTCACATGTTGGTGCTCATGGGTCCTTTTACATGGAAATGACCATAAACATATTGATTCTATGTTTAGCGAAGATCTTCTGTGAATAAAGGTATGCATGTGGGCAAAAAAGCATCTAACGACGCACTTAGCTGTTCTAGTGGTCTGTTCGTGTGGTCTGAGGCAGTTGGTAAATAACGAATGTTTTTAAAAGGCTTTTGGGAAACCGGGCCCAGGCCTGCTCGTTCCTGGGTAAAGGCATGGGGCAAAACAGACTGATTTATGATTTATCACTCACTCAACCCCCCCCCCCCCCCCCCCCAGACCAGCACAGGGAGCCTCATCCACTGTTGCTGACTGGGGGGGGGGAATCTGGACATTCTGGAGCCGTCTTTATTTCACATCCACTCCCCTCTTTGATAGGCTATATTGAGAACATACTAGCTACTGTTGTAGCGTCAGTTGTGGAGTTAATGCCAAAGGCACTGGGTGTTCTCTCTCTGGGTACAAGCAATTTTATCTCATGTCATCTTAGATTTAAAAATTGTTTGTTAATGTTATTTTGTAAGCACTCATGGTTGGACTCGGATGGACTTTTGTGTGGTAAACGAATATGAAGAAAAGGACTCTAGAATCACACAACCCTTTAGTGGCTAATTTGTATCTCCTCTGACTGCCCTCTAAAATGGCTGTAGATCCTGTGTCCTCAGGTGTCCCTCAGCTATGACTGAGCAATCTGTACCGTGCTGTAATGTTTGTAGGTAGGCTGGCTCAGTCTGTACTGTGGTGTAATGTGTCTAGGTAGGCAGGCTCAGTCTGTACCGTGGTGTAATGTGTATAGGTAGGCTGGCTCAGTCTGTACCGTGGGTTTGTAATGTGGAATAGGTAGGCTGGCTCAGTCTGTACCGTGGTGTAATGTGAATAGGTAGGCTGGCTCAGTCTGTACCGTGGTGTAATGTGTATAGGTAGGCTGGCTCAGTCTGTACCGTGGTGTAATGTGTATAGGTAGGCTGGCTCAGTCTGTACCGTGGTGTAATGTGAATAGGTAGGCTGGCTCAGTCTGTACTGTGGTGTAATGTGATAGGTAGGCTGGCTCAGTCTGTACCGTGGTGTAATGTGTATAGGTAGGCTGGCTCAGTCTGTACCGTGGTGTAATGTGAATAGGTAGGCTGGCTCAGTCTGTACCGTGGTGTAATGTGAATAGGTAGGCTGGCTCAGTCTGTACCGTGGTGTAATGTGTATAGGTAGGCTGGCTCAGTCTGTACCGTGGTGTAATGTGTATAGGTAGGGTTAGGGTAGGTAGGCTCTTCTGGTCTCATTGTCAGAGTTCCAGGGTCAGAGACTAGAGCTCAAACCATATGTGTTCAAAAGAACATCACACTCTCCAAATATGGGGGCGAGTTTGATGTGCTTCTTCAGTATGACCAACGTTAAATCGTGAAAAGTAAAGCTTATAGCCTTTCACATTGCTTCTGGTGGTGTGATGACTTGTTGGAAGTCCTGTGTGTCTCTGTGGTGACTGACTCCCTCTGTGTCCCTCTCTGCAGGGTGGCAACAATGCTGGACACACGGTGGTGGTGGACTCTGTGGAGTATGACTTCCATCTCCTACCCAGCGGCATTATCAACCCCAAGGTCACTGCTTTCATTGGTGGGTAGAGCACAGCCACTGGACCGAGGAATTAACAGGAAAGATGGCTGATTTCACAATAAGAATTGAGCTGTGAAGTAACGCTAATGGTGTAGTACTAAGTCAGTTGTCATCTCTAGTCTTTGGTAAAGAAATGAATAAAAATAGATCAATGTTTCTGTTTGTATCTCCTGTGCAGTTTCCATACACACTTTTACATTTTAGAGACTTAGCAGACGCTCTTATCCAGAGCGACTTACAGGAGCAATTAGGGTTATGTGCCTTGCTCAAGGGCACATAGACAGATTTGTCACCTAGTCAGCTCGGGGATTCGAACCAGCGACCTTTAGATTACTGGCCCAACGCTCTTAACCACTAAGCTACCTGCCGCCCTTTTTGTATGCAAGCAGCCAATAAATCTAGCCAATCTGTATTATATTCTAATAGCTCCCGCTTTGCCTGATGCCAGACAAAAAGTGATTGACTTGACTGGGAGCCAACTCGCAGGCTAACACAGTAGAGTGCTATAGAACACATTTTATCTGCAGTAACTTCATTTTGCTAATGGTCTGACGTCTAGTCTATTTTGGCAGCACATAACAAATATGTCCTCTGGCTCTTAACCCACAGCTCGTCAGCAGTTCAACATATAGAATGTTAAGTGGATCAATACTTTAACGTCTACTATTGCTCTCTAGTTGAGCTCCACAGTCAGGCTTTCAGAGGCCAAACAGGTGTTCGGGACCCTTCAGAGTCCTGAGCACTGTTTGCCATGAGAAAAGTCATCTTGAATAAGGCTGATTGTGCAGATCAGGTTATGGCCCTCTCCACATTTGTTTAATTTGTGGCCTTAATGTTGATAGCTTGCTGCTCAGTGGTACAGCAGACCTGTTTTTCTGATGGAGTATTTAGCTCTTCATGGGAAAGTACATTTATAGCCCACAACACTAGAGAACAAATTCAATTAGGGTGTTTTCACTGGCTCTTTCCTTATTTGTTACTGATGCATCACCATATCTTCCATGTTGCCTGTGTTGGTCTATCCCACAGGTAATGGGGTAGTGATCCACCTGCCTGGCCTCTTCGAGGAGGCTGAGAAGAATGTGTGCAAAGGCAAAAGTGAGTACGAAGGAGCTATCCTCTTTAATAGTCTAAGTCCCTTTTTACTCCGTTGCCTAGAAGATTGCCATATTGCTTAATGGGGCTGTTAACAAATACTTTTTTTCTTTGTACCGTTTGTGTTCAGGTCTGGAGGGCTGGGACAAGAGGTTGATCATTTCAGACAGAGCACACATTGGTAAGCCGTGCCTCATCAGGCCTCTCTTTTTATACTCAAAGGGCCTTTAAATCACAACTTCAGCACAACTATAGTCTCTATACTATATAGAAGACTGTAGGACTAGAGACAGATGTGCAAGGCTCATGTTTGGCTGTCTGTTAAGGGGAATAATGAGTCAGCTTAATTTCTATCATCAATGTTTTTATTTTCATCATAAATGCATTCCAATTTTTTTGAGTATCAACAGTTGGTCTCTTAGCTAGTGACTGCCAGTGTCCGTGCGAAGTTGGTGCCCAGAAAAGCTCCTCATAAACAAGATTATAAAAATGCTGCGTGACTTGGTGGCTTTCATGGGGAACATGTTTCTGTTTATATGGGGGATGAAAGTGGCCAATTGATTAGCTTAATTATTTTTGGGCCCTTTTGTATTTTGTGCATACAGTAGGACTTATTTGACCTAAGATGCACTCCGAATACCTGTTTTTTTTAATCAAATGTGAACTGAACTGGCTTTCAGTTTTCCAGAACATAAGTCATGTTCACTTTGACTGTTAAATAGCACAGTTTTTTGTTGTTGTTGTGAAAAGCAGAATGACTTGTAGACTCTCCTTTATTAGGCTACATTATTCAGTCTTCTCCCTCAGCCCAAACTCGGCCCATTTTATTATCTGAATAGGTGTGGAGGGAGAAATATGAAATAAGCACTGACAAGTTGTTGTTTTTTTACACACAGAAATTAGACAAACTGTCTTAGCTGTGAATTGATTGTTGCGTTGTTGTTATTGGTCCTTCGTATGTACGGTTTCCTTTACTCTTTTGAGTGGTGAACTCTGCTCCACTAGACTTGTTGTGCCTTTAGACGTTTTGTCTCCCTGCTCATTGTCAAAGAAGTTCCAAACGGTCAAGTCAGTGCAGCGAGATGCCAAAAAAGGACACTTCTTATAAACAGCTATCACTTAGTAGTGCCTTTGCAAGGCCGCTTTAGGGACTAGTGTGAGAAAGAGGGGTCATTTCTGACTGGATGAGAAACACTCTACTGTTCACTTCCCTTCATGGATTTAAAAGCAAAGTATTGGTGTAAGTTTATTATTGTGGATTCTCCATCTCTTTCTTGTCCAAGCTTACACCAATCCAGTGCTTTTAAATGTGTGGGAAGGAGTCGACTGCACAAGGGCACACTTCTGGGAGAAAGGGGAGATAATTGGGGCGCTAGGTTTTAGTGAGGAGCAGAAATGGGGGCGAGGTGACCAGGATTGTGAGTTTGCCCTTTTCTACCTCCTCCCACAGTGTTTGATTTCCACCAAGCGGTCGACAGTGTGCAAGAGCAGCAGAGACAAGAGCAAGCGGGCAAGAAGTAAGAACCCTGCCACCTGTCATTCTCCTGGTTTAGAGAGTATGGCTCAGTAATGATTCAGCTTGCAGCAGTGCTGAAAAACAGAATTTCCCTCTCCTATGGGCGAATGTGTAGTATACAGTGGGGGGGGAAAAGTATTTGTCAGCCACCAATTGTGCAAGTTCTCCCACTTAAAAAGACGAGAGAGGCCTGTAATTTTCATCATAGGTACACGTCAACTATGACAGACAAAATGAGATAAAAAAATCCAGAAAATCACATTGTAGGATTTTTTATGAATTTATTTGCAAATTATGGTGGAAAATAAGTATTTGGTCAATAACAAAAGTTTCTCAATACTTTGTTATATACCCTTTGTTGGCAATGACACAGGTCAAACGTTTTCTGTAAGTCTTCACAAGGTTTTCACACACTGTTGCTGGTATTTTGGCCCATTCCTCCATGCAGATCTCCTCTAGAGCAGTGATGTTTTGGGGCTGTCGCTGGGCAACACAGACTTTCAACTCCCTCCAAAGATTTTCTATGGGGTTGAGATCTGGAGACTGGCTAGGCCACTCCAGGACCTTGAAATGCTTCTTACGAAGCCACTCCTTCGTTGCCCGGGCGGTGTGTTTGGGATCATTGTCATGCTGAAAGACCCAGCCACGTTTCATCTTCAATGCCCTTGCTGATGGAAGGAGGTTTTCACTCAAAATCTCACGATACATGGCCCCATGCATTCTTTCCTTTACACGGATCAGTCGTCCTGGTCCCTTTGCAGAAAAACAGCCCCAAAGCATGATGTTTCCACCCCCATGCTTCACAGTAGGTATGGTGTTCTTTGGATGCAACTCAGCATTCTTTGTCCTCCAAACACGACGAGTTGAGTTTTTACCAAAAAGTTCTATTTTGGTTTCATCTGACCATATGACATTGTCCCAATCCTCTTCTGGATCATCCAAATGCACTCTAGCAAACTTCAGACGGGCCTGGACATGTACTGGCTTAAGCAGGGGGACACGTCTGGCATTGCAGGATTTGAGTCCCTGGCGGCGTAGTGTGTTACTGATGGTAGGCTTTGTTACTTTGGTCCCAGCTCTCTGCAGGTCATTCACTAGGTCCCCCCGTGTGGTTCTGGGATTTTTGCTCACCGTTCTTGTGATCATTTTGACCCCACGGGGTGAGATCTTGCGTGGAGCCCCAGATCGAGGGAGATTATCAGTGGTCTTGTATGTCTTCCATTTCCTAATAATTGCTCCCACAGTTGATTTCTTCAAACCAAGCTGCTTACCAATTGCAGATTCAGTCTTCCCAGCCTGGTGCAGGTCTACAATTTTGTTTCTAGTGTCCTTTGACAGCTCTTTGGTCTTGGCCATAGTGGAGTTTGGAGTGTGACTGTTTGAGGTTGTGGACAGGTGTCTTTTATACTGATAACAAGTTCAAACAGGTGCCATTAATACAGGTAACGAATGGAGGACAGAGGAGCCTCTTAAAGAAGAAGTTACAGGTCTGTGAGAGCCAGAAATCTTGCTTGTTTGTAGGTGACCAAATACTTATTTTCCACCATAATTTGCAAATAAATTCATAAAAAATCCTACAATGTGATTTTCTGGGGGGAAAAATCTCCATTTGTCTGTCATAGTTGACGTGTACCTATGATGAAAATTACAGGCCTCTCTCATCTTTTTAAGTGGGAGAACTTGCACAATTGGTGGCTGACTAAATACTTTTTTCCCCCACTGTATCTAGTCTTGTTAGATGAAACAACCTCAACTGACTCCAGCTTGAAGCAGAGCTGAAAAACAAGATTCCCCTGTCCTATGGCGGATACCCAGTATAAACCTTTTTAGCATAAAGTCTAGCATAAGTACTGAAACAACCTCAACTGATTCTCCAGAGTTGTCAAATATTAAATATCACCTTTTTCTTCTCTGCACCATTGTTGTGGAGCTATTTTAACAGTTTTGCCTTGAGTGAGTGCTGCCTGAAAGAAATGTGATCATATAATTTTTGATAATAATAATTGTCTCGTACTGTAGTCTGGGGTTAATACATTTGCAGGAATATAATTTTGGCAATGGTAAACCTTCATGGTCTCCCATATAGTGATACATCACTGTATTACTCATGTATCGAAATGGTTTATTTCCTGTTCCATCTGACAATGTCCTCTGGAGGAAGCAAACAAATCCTACACTGTAGCTATTGCAGATTACTGTTACCAGTTAGTAATGTAGCTATTGCAGATTACTGTTACCAGTTAGTAATGTAGCTATTGCAGGTTACTGTTAGCAGTTAGTAATGTAGCTATTGCAGGTTACTGTTACCAGTTAGTAATGTAGCTATTGCAGGTTACTGTTACCAGTTAGTAATGTAGCTATTGCAGGTTACTGTTACCAGTTAGTAATGTAGCTATTGCAGGTTACTGTTACCAGTTAGTAATGTAGCTATTGCAGGTTACTGTTGTTACCAGTTAGTAATGTAGCTATTGCAGGTTACTGTTGTTACCAGTTAGTAATGTAGCTATTGCAGGTTACTGTTGTTACCAGTTAGCGATGTAATGGAGATGCCCAATCCGGTTCTGAGAAGAGGGTGGTAAGCACAGGCTTAGACACAGGACATCGCTCTGATATGCAGGGCATTTTAAGCTTTTGTTGGGCATCAAAATAAGCCCACCGCCCTGATAGAATTATTGTGTAAAACAATCTGCAGCGTTTGAACTGGCTCAACAGCTAATTATTGTGCCAGTTTCTCTGCCATGGGTGCTAAAAGGGCAAGTCAGTCATTATAGGCTTATATCACAAGTTGTGGAATTTCAACACCGTAAGGCATTACAACTTCACTCTTACCTCTGAGAGAGGCAGAGAACCGAGTTAGACACACAGAGGCTTGGATTAAATATCCTGTAGTATGAGCATGACTTGTCCCAGGGGTCTCATGGTGGACCTGACCTGCATTCGTTTAGTATCTTACTGGAGGGGTTAGTACTCGTGATACCCTGTCTCAGCTCCAGAAGACAACTTCTATTCTTACTGATAAGTCCTTTCCCACATGAAGTCATACCCTACCCTACATCAGACCAGGGACGTCACGTCACCAGATATCCCCTAGCAGCACCATGTGACTGTGATTCTCTCCAACCCTTACTGCAGCAACATTGTTTCAGTCAGCAGCAGGGCAGCAGGCAATGTTCCAGCCCCATAAATACTCCTTAGAAAAGTGCCCTGGCCTAGCTACTTCCCTAAAACTGTCACATGTCTGACCCAACACACACACACATACTGGCTGGAAGGACAAGTGTGCGTGTGGTTTAATGTTGAGTCAGTGACTCAGTATTGTCAAGGTAAGGATTGACTTTGTTTCCTACCCAGCCTCGGGACAACTAAAAAGGGGATTGGCCCAGTGTACTCAGCCAAAGCAGCCCGCAGCGGCCTCCGGATATGTGACCTCATGTCTGACTTCACGCAGTTCTCTGAAAGGTGAGGGTGTGGCCTTGTCATATGGCCAATAATTACTATCCTCCCTTTATTCAGAGTACAACTAGCTCCAGTAAGATTCAAATGGAACTGTGTTGACGTCTACCCTTTTGTTGTAGATTTAAAGTCTTAGCCTCGCAGTATCAGTCTATGTATCCAACCCTGGTGATTGACATCGATGGGGAGTTGTCGAAGTTGAGGGTGAGCTACAGGTCCTCCATCAGTTGAATAAAGATATCATCACTGGTTTAACGAAGGGGTTATGTCCTACATTTCAGTGTAATTCTTGGGTCAAGTCTTTGCGTGGTGTGTTCTTGTCCAGGATTACGCGGAGAAGGTAAAGCCTATGGTGAGAGACGGGGTCTTTTACATGTACGAGGCCTTACATGGACCTCCCAAAAATATCCTGGTGGAAGGAGCCAACGCCGCCCTCTTGGATATTGACTTTGGTGAGTATCCCCCACTGTCATTGTGTCAATGTCAATTAACCCCTGTCACTGTGTAAATTGCCAATTATCCCCCATTTAATTGAACACGCTAACAAACTGATGGTCTTCAAGAAGCCGGCTGGAAAGTCGAGCTATTTATACTGGTGAGTTAATTCCACTGAAACAGTGGTATCAGAGCTGTCAGAGGATTGGAACTACATGTTCGCTGAGCCTAACACCAGAGAGCACCCCTACACCGTGCATGACTCTGAGAAATACTGGCTACTCTGTCACTGTCACTTTCCCTGATTTTGTTCTGTCACAAAGCACTCCATAGACCACACACAGAACAGAACTTACTGAGGGAGAGGGTTGCTATGTACTGAAGGACACCATGTTCTATTTCATTGATACAATGGTAGTAGGTGAAAGTGGGGGGTATCATATGGCCGTGCTAATGCTATCTGCATAAAGGATAATGATGTTTTTTGCACCTGTGCAGACCTGTATGGGAGGGGTGGAATTCTCACCCCCTCCACTGACCTGAAAGGCCCATTAACCTGGACTGGAATGTCCACCTCTGTTTAAGCACACCTGACAAAGAGACCTGACACAGGGATATTGTTTGCATGTCATGTTAAGATTGAAGCATTTAGTTTCCTTTACTCGTATTACAAGCTATGTTAATACAGTCCTTGTGATATGATAATCGTCTGTTGTACGAATGCATTGTCATGTCTGTTTTATCTGAGGAAGAGGAAGACTGAGGAGGAAATAAGATGGTGTTTATCATTGTGTTTTTGTTTCAGGGACGTACCCTTTCGTGACCTCGTCTAACTGCACAGTGGGTGGGGTGTGTACGGGACTAGGCATGCCGCCCCAGAATGTGGGCGAGGTGTACGGTGTGGTCAAGGCCTACACCACCCGGGTTGGCATTGGAGCCTTTCCCTCAGAGCAGTTCAATGTAAGAATGTCAGCCTGTCTACCTTGAGGGAAGCCATGCCTTCCTGCCTTTGACCGCTACGGGCTAGTGTCATATTGGTTCCATGGTGCAACGTCTTTCCTGCTCTCTGTTTCCAGTGTGAGTAGAGGAATGTAGACTGTAGTGTTAATGTTGGGGGAATGGCTTAGCTGCCGATTGAGTCATCAGAGTTCTGAATTCCAGTGAGTATTCTGTGAACTCCACAGGCACAGGCATGCGGGTGTGTGGGTATTGAAACAACAAATGGTTTTGGGAAAGATAGTTGTTATAACCACTCCCTTTGGTAGCACTTGTGAAATAATCCATGCAAAACCATAATAACCAATTCCTCAACCTGTACAGGACAGGGAATGGACACATTTCAAGCTTGACATGTCCATGTTTTACTTTATCAGCGATCTTACAGTGAATCTGATCCTTTTTAAGTGTCTGCCTGTTTTCTTCTCTAAGGACATTGGGGAGCTCCTACAGACGAGGGGGAAAGAAGTGGGCGTAACCACGGGCCGTAAAAGGAGATGTGGTTGGCTGGACCTGGTGCTCATCAAATACGCCCACATGATCAACGGCTTCACTGCGTGAGTCCCCACACCCCCTTCCCTCAACTCTGTACTGTCCATCACCACACCTTTCGCTTTTTACTTACTGTCTCAATATAAACTACAAAAGTATGTGGACACATGCTCATTATTCCAAGATCATGGGCATTATTATGAATTTGGTCCCCCCTTTGCTGCTATAACAGCCTCCACTCTTCTGGGAAGGCTTTCCACTAGATGTTGGACCATTGCTGCGGGGACTTGCTTCCATTCAGCCACGAGCATTGGTGAGGTCGGGCACTGATGTTGGGCGATTAGGCCTGGCTCGCAGTCGGCGTTCCAATTCATTCTAAAGGTGTTCAATGGGGTTGAGGTCAGGGCTCTGTGCAGGCCAGTCAAGTTCTTCCACACCGATCTCGACAAACCATTTATGTATGGACTTCGCTTTGTGCATTGGGGCATTGTCATGCCGAAACAGGAAAGGGCCTTCCCCAAACTGTTGCCACAAAGTTGGAAGCGCAGAATCGTCTAGAATGTAATTGTAGGCTTCCTTTCACTGGAACTAAGGAGCCTGAACCATGGAAAAACAGCCCCAGACCATTATTCCTCCTCCACCAAACTTTACAGTTGGCACTATGCATTCGGGCAAGTAGCGTTCTCCTGGCATCGCCAAACACAGATTAATTCGTCGGACTGCCAGATGGTGAAGCGTGATTCATCACTCCAGAGAATGCGTTTCCACTGCTCCAGATTCCAATGGCGGCAAGCTTTACACCACTCCAGCCGATGCATGGTGATCTTAGGCTTGTGTGCGGCTGCTCGGCCATGGAAACCCATTTCATAAAGCTCTCGACGAACAGTTATTGTGCTGACATTGCTTACAGAGGCAGTTTGTAACTCGGTAGTGAGTGTTGCAACCGAGGACAGACTATTTTTATGCGCTTCAGCACTCGGCGGTCCCGTTCTGTGAGCTTGTGTGGCCTACCACTTCACGGCAGAGCCGTTGTTGCTCCTAGACGTTTCCACTTCACAATAACAGCACTTACAGTTGACCGGGACAGCTCTAGCAGGGCAGAAATTTGACAAACTGCCTTGTTGGAAAGGTGGCAACCTATGACGGTGTCACGTTGAAAGTCACTGAGCTCTTCAGTACGGACCGTTCTACTGCCAATGTTTGTCTATGGAGATCACATGGCTGTGTGCTCGATTTTATACACCTGCCAAATCAACCTATTTGAAGGGGTGTCCACGTACTTTTGACCATATAGTGTACTTGAATAGACTTTATCAGCTTCGTACACATAATGTATTTGGGTGTTGGTAAATATGCCGGCTAAACTCCCAATGTTCTGTTGTCCTCCCATTCAGCTTAGCTCTCACCAAACTAGACATCTTGGATGTGCTCCCTGAGATCAAGGTTGGTGTGTCGTACTCTGTGGACGGTGAAAATATACCTCATTTTCCAGGTAGGCTGCTCATCGAAACAGCAGCTAATTGGCAGCAGCTAATGGGGATCCTTAATAAATACAAAAACATTGATGCTGCTGTACTTGTTAATGAGGATAAAGTGAACCAGATAAGGGAGCTATGTTATATTCCTAATTGCAGTATTTCAAGTCTGTTGTCTTAAGAAGTTTATGGCAGCCAATGGCCTGACGTTGTCCCCACCTCTCCCCAGCCAACCAGGAAGTCTTACAGAGCGTTGAGGTTCAGTATGACACCCTGCCAGGTTGGAACAGTGACACCTCCGCCACCAGAACATTCAATGAGCTGCCAGAGAACGCCCAGAAATACGTCCGCTACATTGAGAAGCACCTCGGTGTGCCTGGTAAGAACCCCCCTCCTCTCCTTAACACCTGGAGATGTGTCAGGTTGATTCAGATGGGGTGAAAATACCTTGTAGTGGTCACAGGTGTGGACCATATTTGGGGACATTTATTGTTTTATTTGTAAAGCTATTCAATAACTACTTTTCACCCACAGTGAAATGGATTGGAGTAGGCAAGTCTCGGGAGTCTATGATCCAGATCTTCTAAGGTCTTCTCCTCCACACCGTAGCCACCACCAGACCAGACCCTCAGTCCCCTCTCCCTCCCTCCAGATGGCTACCTGGTTCCAGGGGCCTGTGGCCTGGGAAGGTGGTCCTATGCTACATGCCACTCCTTTCTATCCCCAACTCACCCCCATACCACAGACACCAACCTGGGGGATGCTCTTATCCTCCTATCCCCCCACCTTTTTGTGGAACACTCCTATTATTGCTCTCTCTCTCTCTGTGCCTCCCTGTGCCTCTCTCTCTCCCTGTGCCTCTCTCTCTCTCCCTGTGCCTCTCTCTCTCTCTCCCTGTGCCTCTCTCTCTCTCTCTCCCTGTGCCTTTCTCTCTCTCCCTCCCTCTCTCTTTCCCTCTCTCCCCTATATCTATTTCTCTCGGTCGGTCTTTGGAGACCTGTGTGGGACTCTTCAAAATGGCCTCCTCAGTCATTAACAGGGAAGAACACTTCAGCTGCTTGCCAGCCTACGTCTGTTACTCCCCATGTATAGTTGGTCAGAAAGTCCTCAGAAAGCCTCTTCTTCTGGCCTTCCTTTATGGATCTGTTATCCTGACATCCTTGCACACACACTCAAATCGCACACAAAACCCCACTCAAATCCATTAAATATCCCGATATTCCAACCTCTGATCCAGGTGTGTGGATACGCTGTCATTGACCCGTCTGCAAGCCAATGTCAGAAATGGTTCAGTATGACCATGTGTACAGTACTGCAGTGGGACTTACACTCATTTTCTGTGCCTGTATTGTGATGAAAATACAGTTTGTATAGATGTATTCTTTATGCCTAGCATGGGTCAAGGAGCCCATGGCCATGAAACGGCCCACTCGAGCAACTTGACATTCAACGTTTCTGTATGGACAACCGTCAATGTCTCTGTATACAAATTGAAAAATCGCATTGAAATTTAGAATATGACCTTGTTCCAAGCAACATAGATGGTTGCCAAAGCTATTACGCAAGAAAATTGATTTTGGTGCCATTATTAGAGATACAATCTTAAATGGGCATTTTAGAGGCGTCATAATCGAACAACCTCTTAGTAATTTCCCCAGCTGACTAGAAATTAGCTCGTTTTCGTATTTCAAAGCAGTAAAAAGTTGTATTACTACTGGACATTTTAAAACATTTTGATAGGTGAACTTCTCCCATCAAACTCCACATTGAAATGACGCAAGAATGTATTTCAATGCTATTCTAAGTTTAAACTCCAACGCGATCACACGATGTGGATATGCTAAACTCTAGTCTCAGGACTTCTACGCGATCACAACAGTGTATATATTTTACTTCTATTTGAATGATTTTAGGACTAGGTATGATGGATTCTGTTCTGCTACTGCTGGATGTGTGGGTATTTCTGCAGATGTAGCATATTAGACAGCAGATTGTCTCCTGACTCGGTGACAACTATATGTAACCTTTTGCTTTTATAAACTGGAGCTGTTCAAGTGTAATGGCATATAACCATGCGTTTTCCAATCACTGATATATAATCTAAATATTTCAAATTAAGATTTTTAAAGACATGAAAGGATCTCACCTGTTTATGTATGGATCGAATACATAAACCTCTGAATGGCTCGATTATTACATTGAAAAATTGTTACGGGGAGAGGCATGCATTCAAGGTTAACCTTGAGTGACAGTTGTCTAAGGGTGCCAATTCATGCAGAGATGGAAAACTGATCATACAATATCAGTTTGCCTTTGTGTCTGTAGGTCTCTATACAGAGATGGCTGTAGACTGCTGTGAAAGAATGGGTTTCTACGTTGGTGGCGAAGGAGTGCTTTCTCTTTCAAATATGGAAGTGTCAAACTAGTGTCACAATACATAGTTACTATATGTCAGGTACTTTCTTAAGTCCGGGTCTTTAGTAGAGTAAAGCGGTTATCGCCTGTAGTCCAATATGGTTTCTGGTACAGTCTGTCTTGTTCTTCCCCTGTGTCTTTGGATTGTAAGATGATATCAGTGACTATGGTATTCACCAAGTATGCTCAGTGCCAAGATAAAAATGAAACTAAAGGGATGTCTTTAAATGCTGGTTATCCTTGTTTCAATAGATTATCCGATGACCTGCCAATAGGCCACACAATGTGGTAAACATTTCCTGCTTTACATATAGCAGCAACTAATCAGTTGAGATACTTACCCTGTCAGTGGTGTCAACACTCACCTGAAACTCCCCATACAAGGTGAAGGCATGCCACTGTTTGCAAATCCTAAACTATTCGCCTCCAGACCATGTTTTTTCAGGATGAACTGTTCCTTGGGCCCCCATTCAAGACTATTGAATGTTTTTATTTTACTTGGCCCTTGTTGGGAAGGGCCCGTAACTAAGCATTTCACTGTTAGTCTACACCTGTTGTTCGCTACACCCGCAATAACATCTGCTAAAATGTGTGTATGTGACCAATAAAATTTGATGAATACAAATTGATTTGGGTTTGAATACCTCTAAAATGTATCTTTCCTTTCTACCTTACATTTTTTTTTACATTTTAGTCATTTAGCAGACGCTCTTGTCCAGAGCAACTTACAGTTAGTGAGTGCATACATTTTTCATACTGGCCCCCCGTGGGAATCAAACCCACAACCCTGGCGTTGCAAATGCCATGCTCTACCAACTGAGCTACACAGGACCACCTTGAGGCTCATCTGTGAGTGGATAGGTGAAAAGATGGTTACACCATTGCTTTCACCTATGTTATGTTTCCTCTAGGGTGTATTAAAATGGTCAAACAGGGTGCAGGTCTTACCGCCCCTGTGTAGTGTCTTCAAGATGGCTTAGTATTATGCTTTCTCTATCCCACCACATCAGCTCAACATGTTGGAAGAATGTTTGGCTCCCATTCAAACAACGCAAACAACTTAGTCAGTTAATTAGGCTTTGAGGAGCAACATGTAAAATTAGTTGACAAGCCTCCTTTAGCCAAAAACAAACGTGTAGGGTGCAAAATTAGTTTTTGATGTGAATAGTCTTTAACTGGCTCGGTTAAGGTGAGACAAAGGGAGGAAATCTTTCTCTAAATTAAGAGGGAAATGTATAAAGTATATCCTAATAATGGTGATAAATCCAGATTTTATTAGAGGTTTGCTGTAATGTGTATCCCTTCCCATTACTGCCTTCCAAAGTTAGTCATCTCATTAAAGTAACCATAGTACTGAAACTGGTTCTGTCATTTTAAAAGAAAAATATTTATTGGCGTGATGACTACTAGGCTTTTAATCTAACTCCAATTTTTGAATCTTTTTTCATTTTAACATCACACAGGTAAACGCATATTTGCACACATTGGTCTTCTCTGTTTTGAAACGATTGACCTACTTTCAGTTCTGCATGTATTGCTGCTGTGTTAACTCTTTGTGTGTAGAAATACAGTACCATTATCTTGGTCTTATTGTAGCTTGTTGAATATGCTTTTGGAGATGGTGGTGCTGGCTGGGGAGTTGTGCATGTTTATCAAATGTTATTTGTACAGTACTGGTCTTACTCTTAGTAATACAAAAAGTAATATCAATGACAAACTGGCAATCCAAATCTAGAACAAGATTCCAACTAATAAAAACAATTAAACATGGGAAATGTCTTTTTTAATATTTCAATTCATCCATGTGTTTCTTGAAATATTTTCTGTTCTCAACTGTTGGTGCAGAATTCATCAATCGCCTGTGTACTTCAATACATGGCCACCAGAGGGAGACATTTACCTTTGAATAGTATTTGATTTGTCAAACGCAGCACTAGCTGAGAATTAGAAAACTACATGTGATAACGGATAGTTTTGTATTGTTCAGTGGAGTTCGCACTATCAATGAGGATTTATAACGCCTATAAGATAGGCACAGTATCAACTGTTTTCCTCAATGATCTTATTCAATTTCATTGTCTTCTAGTTATCATTAGTGTGGTAATGCTAGTAGTGCTATTTGACGTCTAAATAAAAAAACATTTATTCCAGTCATGGTGGGAGATGAAGGAGAATGAAACTCAAAACCACTGTTTGGGATTCCAGGGATAGGACATGGAAAAGCACAGCTGATCTTTGCCCATACAGACACTTCATGACACTTGACAAACAGGTATGTATCACCTTCATAAAACAAGCAGCTCAGGCTAATACACTAAACACAGAGCATTGATGTCAAGCTTAGGCCAGCTTTTACCTCATCTCCATTGTTTGACCGGTCACGGATAGACTATATCACACAGCAGGCTGTTGCTTCTCTTTCCGGTTTGGATGTTCAGTGTTTGAGACTAACTTCAGTTATGTGGCCACTGGCCAGGGGTGTATTAATTAGTCAGATTCCGTTGCAATAAAAACAGTTTACCGTTACGCTAGGAACAAAACGAAAGCAAACGGCAAACGAAACTGAGGGACCTACCTGCACTCGTTTTCGTTGTAAAACGTTTTCTGTTTGGAGTAAACTGTTTCCGTTGCATAACGTTTTGCAACCGAATCTGACTAATGAATACGACACAGGGCACTCCACTCTGTTTGCCCTTCATATTTGAATCATTGAGTAAGGCTTCTCTGTTCGCCAGCCACCACTGTATTATACTAGAGGGTTAAGCAGATTCTATAGATATCAAAATAAGTGCTGCAGGTTCCAAGACAGTTTGTTTGCCTTTCACCTGTGGCCTAGACACAAAGGATGCTATAGAAGCTTGGGGATGTGCAGTTACACCAACAAATAAAACCTGTGTTTAGCTTAAGGTCATATGGCCACTCGCTCTGCAGTTTGGACAGAATTCACAGTTTTATGGCTTCATCTCAATTTCTATTTAAGCTTTGCGCACAGCCATAATACAGTATGTGTATTGCATTGCTTAATTGTCCATGTACCTTGAAGTTAGTCCACAATTTCTCTATGGTCACTTTGTACAACCTAGAATATACAGGTCCTACTTGAATGTGGTTTGAGGTTACGATGTCCAGACTTTGCACTGCATCCGTTCTCGCCACATCCCATTGACGTAAAAAGCACACACCCAGGAGCACGGCTCCCCTGTTCTGAATGGACACAAAGGGGTCTCTCTCTCTGGCCTGCTGGTCTGGTCAGCATACGTGCTAGGGTCACGAATGAGCCATCGGTGAGCGAATGGGCCAGCTTCCCAATCCAAGTCTGGTAGGCCTGCAGCCTGGGCCAAACAGGCCAGGCCAGGTGGCCCATAACGGTCTCATTAGAGCAGATGTGAGGCTGCTGCTGTGGCTGTGCTGCTGTGGCTGTCTATGCCCTCCCCTTTC